ATAATGTACGATCTACTCCTAAACCATAAAACAAATGGACAATCTGTTTCTATACAATGAATAAATTTTGCATATTGTGACCTATAGCCTAAAGCTATCCCACCTGATCTAAAGCTTGTAAATTTTTTCCTGTTTTTATAATGAAAGGTAAAATCTTCAAAACTAATTTCATCTAAATCCTCCAATTTTGTTTCAGTAAGACATAATAAATCATTACAGTTTAATAAATCCCTAAATTCTTGATACAGTAGTTTTCGTTTTAATCCACAAACATTTAATGACAATAAATGAACGATATTTTTATTTACATGATTAGAATTAATACCAGTGTTAGTGTGAGAGCCAGTTCCATCTGAGTGATTTAAACTATAATTTAAATTGTCCGTTAAACCTCCACGGTTTACCTATCTTCGTCTTCCACGTCTGTGAGGGGCTCCACGGGTACGGTCGTTGTTCTGTTTCTTGTTTCTCCAGTGTTCAATTAAGAAGACCTTTTCTTTAAAATTCCACGATTTTCCTCTTATCCCATCTATTTTTTTAAACTGTATTTTTGCCGCCAAACATGCGTAGATTTGTTTTCATATCTGAATATATCACTGATTCGAACAAGATAAAACTCAACGTTTACACATGAAAAAGATCGATCTTTGTACCACTATGTCTGAATGTATTTTTTTAATTCTCAATTTTATTTGAAGTCCGATTGAAGATCGATCTTTCCCGTTTACATTGGTAATAGACTCCCTTCAATTAAAAGTAGCTCCATCTAGCAACACTTTTCTGAACAATTGCGTTTTGACCCTCTACCGTGGAAAGTTCATTCTTCAGATGTCATCATTTCAAATTATTATATTTGTTGATAGGTAAAAAAAGTAAAATAAATATGTTACCGCTTCTAGCTAGACTATACTCGTGTTTCCGGCAAGAAACTATCATGAACCAGTAATAAAGTAAATGTACTTTTAAACTATAAATATTGTTCCTCTCAGCTTTTTCAATTTCACGATATAAATTCACAAACCCGACATATGCTTACCTTGCATATTCTAGACATTTTTCATACCTTTTTAAACCAAGACATTTTCCAGTGTACAGTTTCAGTGGTGTTAATTTTGCTTTAACTTACCAAAAATTATAACAAAAGTTGTATTCTTGCCAAGTTTTACGGTCATAAAAATATCCAGCACGATTATCGTACTCAGACTCAGATATTAACCAATCAAATTACTGGATTTGGTGTTTCGATCACATATTTTGTACTCCGAGTACTGAGTAAAGTTCAATGACCGAGAAAACACAAAAATGAAACGTTTGACATGACGTTTTTGCGTGAAAATGGGATAACTAAGTGTTATAATTTTTGATATTTTAAATTTCAATTCTTATTTTTCCTTATTTTCAGACTGTTTTACTTAATTCAATTCAAAATCACAATATTTTTATTGAGCTGATTAGTCAACGCATTGCTTTAAATGATAATCCATAACAAAGTGGAAATCGTACCAACATCGTGCGCAACGTCTACGCTATCAGTGTGACAGAGGCCAACGGCCAAGGTGAATTTCATATCTGGGGTTGATAAATCATTTTTTTTACATTAGCTGCAATGAAATTCCGTGATTTCTCAGTAAAATAAAATCCTATAATATCATTTGTCAAATAAATCCGATAATTGCATTCTTCTTACGTAATACAACAATGAGTGTTGTCAATAATTAAACTTAGAATAGTTAATTTTTGGAACCGAATTATTTGTAATAATCATAAACTTTCTTCCATTATGTACTCTACAATGTTCAAATTAAACGAATCCGGATTGCATAAGTTTAAATGGATTGAACATGTTAAATCCATATTTGACAATACTGGATTTAGCTTTATATGGAATCTTCAATCGAAGATAGATCCAATTCAGATAAAAACAATATTAAGCAAAGATTAACAGATGAATTCATCCAACAATGATACAGTCAAATCCAAAAATCATCGAGGGGGGAATATTATGGTCTTTTCAAAATCGACTTTGGCTTAGAAAAATATTTAGTAAGACTCTCTTTTGCAGATCGTAAAATATTACTAAACTGCGATGCTGCAACCTTACAATCCCAATAGAAACAGGCAGATGGAATGGAATTCCTAGAGATGAAAGACAGTGTCATCTCTGCTCCTTGTCAATTGGAAATGAATTTCACTATATATTTGAGTGCCAGTCTGTTATTGTTGAAAATATAAGAAATAAGCATAGTTCATAATATTACCACAGGTATCAATGTGTCGAGAAAATGAAAGGGCTGCTTTCAATTTGCAACATTAAAGTTATGAAGAACTTATCACTTTTCATTAACAAACTAGTTAAAATATTGTAATTATACTCTCAATTATACGATTATGTTAACATTGATCTATATCAACCATAAATGTGATTATGTATTTTGCCTCTCGTTACACACATATATATATATATATATGTCTGAGTGTTCCAAAATAAAGTATATTGTTATTGTTATCAATACATTTTCGATAACGTAACATCAAAACGAATTGAGAATGCGCAGAAAAATATATAGTTCCTTGTACTTTCTACTTTACTTCTATTGAAAAGGTGCATGGTCAATGTAATTAAGAAAATAACTAATCCAAAAAATTTATTTCCTTGTATTTTCTAATTTATTTCCATAAAAAAGTTTATGGTAAATACAATAAAATGAATAATTAATCGAAAAATTCAAATATCGAAAAAAAATCAACTCGTGACTAAACAACACTGATTATTATTCATACATTTTGCTTTAAGCCAACGGGAATACAGAAATCCTATATAGTCGTATAATAACCTTTTTCAAATTGTTTTCAAAATTTACACAATATCAAAATGTTGTTAATTTAGAAATTTAGCACTGCCATTGCAGTACGTATATTTTTTTATGTAATTTGATGTGATAAAACCTTTGACATCATATAAAGTTATGGCATTTATCTTCTCGTGCACAGCGTCGTTATCCTGTCCAGGTTTCAATATACTTTTGTTTATGTTGGTAATAACAGGGTTTTTTTCTTGCATGAGAAACACGGCGAGTGTCACTTGTGGAACAGGAATTGCCTACCTTTACCAGAAATCACACCTGGTTTTGATGGGGTTCGAGATACTCATTCTTTAGTTTTATGTGTAATGTATTTGCTATTGTTGCTTGTCTATTCGCCATTTATTTTAAGGTAGCACTACAGTCAGAATTTTCTGACTCCAACCAACAGTCTTTAAAGATTAATTTTTCCAAAACTACTCAATGGAAATTTAAAATCTTTAACTCATTTTAAAGCTGAAATATAACTCTTTCTTAATCTATAGATAAATTTATTTTTGGTATGATTAATCTCAAAATATAGCTCATTAATTGCCAAAAAAGTGGTCTTCCAACTTGGATGAAAATGGCACATTCAGGTCAAATGGTAGTAAAAATTTGTTTTCATCCCTTTAATTAACCATATACAAGCTACAAAACCGTGTCTCAGATTTTTGATATATGCCTCCAGTAATAAGATATATTATTTTTACTGCTGGATGCCAAACCTCATTTCACCTTTCATCTTTGGAGACCTATAAATTCATTTAGAAACAAATTATCCAAAAACTGGGACACGGTATTGTAGAAAATACTCCCTTCAATCACATATATCAAAATCAAGCCAAAGGGGGTACCCATAAAGTTTCTATTTTCATTTTTTCCTTACAATTCTCATGAAAAATTGTTCTGAGAAATGACCTTAAAACTGAATTTCCTCTTAAGAACCCCTATAAATGCCACATAAATACAAAAATTCCACTGGGAACACACCAGGAGTGTTCTGACACCATTACTTTATCAATAGAACCACACACATTGTGTCTTTGATGCTCTAATGCTGTAAAATTTGCATTTTGTGTGCACTGTATAACACTAACTTGGCATTTGGCGGGAGTTTGACGTCACAGATTTGACCAACATCTGTGATGTAGTAATTAAATAAAGACAAAGCTCCGCCTCTGTCCAGACAGTCTAAGATAAGAGAATAACAGGATTGGCCAGCTGCATCATAATTAATATTTAACATCATTATTCTCACTATAAAGAATAATTTTCATTTGAATTTTAAAAAGAAATATAATATGACGATGATGACTGAAATTAGCTAAAATATTAAAATTGTGCATTAAAAGACATGTCCATAAAAAGATCAAGACCATCCCCTTCTTGAAAATAGACTGTCCAACATGATTTATGAGTTTCATGGAATTAAAAAATTTCACATAAACTTAAAATTAGTTAAAATGCCTAAAATTATTTTTAAATGTAGAAGACCAAAGACGAGAAATTTATACAGGCAGTCAGAGGCTTTCAAAGATACTTTCACACTCTTTTCCATAGTTTTTTTTCATTTTGGTAGATTTTTTCCCTTTAATTTTTTTCCTATTCATATCTTTTTCTTTTTCTCTGTTCTAAACTTCCATGTTTTATAAATTAGTTTTGTTGCAATGCAATGAGATATTTATCTTGTGGCTAGGGATTAACAGCTGGACACTGGTATCAACAGATGATTGACATATTAGCCCCTCCCAAATGCCTATATATTTAGATTAATTACATGTGCTTTTATTTACATAAGTTCATTATCAATTTACTCCCTGTTGTGATATGATAATGACTTTGGGATTTTTACAAACTGTGCAGAATAATACTTACTTCAAAATTATGTGATAGAAAAAATATCTTCAAAAAATCATTGTTAGACTGTAGTGCTACCTTAATTGAGTCATTTTGTCTGGGTTTTTTGTTTGTTGGACTAATGATCTTTGATTGCCCCTTGGTATTTTTTTCCTTTTTTTTTGAAAGTATACTTTTATAAGTAATTACATTTAATGTGAAGTAAGAACTAAAAAAATGTGCATTAAAGTAACTTGACAACTAAGCTAAGGCAATCATTATCGAAATACAACAACACAATCAATCTTCAGTTTTATTCATCTATCCAAAAATTCCACCGGAAAAGTATGACTTTTGGTAATAGCAGAGATGTAGTGTGGGATCACCGTGACTGTTCCAGTTACCGTAAGGGTGAGCACCGGAAGCAGAATTGTGGTTATGGTGATCTTCTGTATCCATTTTGAAAACTTCCTCCCTGACTGTCATACCATTAACTTTCTGACAAGGCGTTGTAAATCTCAACAGGTAAAACGGCTTATCAACAGGAAGAGATATAGCTGTCTGGTAATCACCGTCATTTCTGTGTGCATCATAAAATTCAATGGAAAAGAAATGATTGTACTTTTATAGTATATTTCGAAAACATCAGTTGTTTTATATGAATCGATTTAATTTGGTACCGACACAGCACCAAAGATCATACGCATGTGTTGTTTTTTTTTTTTTTACATATATAAGGAAAATCCACACTGAAGTGCGTTTATAAGATAATAATGTATTGTTCATAATTCAAATTATATATAAATATATAATTTAATGTCTTTCATCCAGATGGTATTAATAGAAATAGCTGTATTTTTAGATGTATTCATCAGTAGATTTGTTAGCTATACAAGTTATAGTATAGTATTACATTTTGGCAGGTTTTTTTTTGCTTTATGACAATATTTTATTTTAGAATATACAATGAATGTTATTGTTATTAACACAGTATATCTTGAGATATTTTATCCCCCACCTCTTTTGTCATACATTTTCTTTGAAATTCCGTAATTTCAATCTTTTCTTTCAAAAAGTATATTTCTGACTTCAATTAAACTTATTGTTAACAACAAGGGGGGTAAATACTAGCAAGCCCTCATCATTTTCAAAATTTAAGGTACATTAACAAAAATTTGTGTTTAACAGATAAAATATATAAGGTTAGCTGATTAAATAGAGAAAGAAGAAACCAATTTGACATCCATAAGTCCTATAAAAACCGTCTTCATAAACAATAAAAATGCTCGTCAAAGAAAACTAAAAAAATCGGTAAAAAAAATAGGGGGGGGGGGGGGTGACAAGTACTCTTCCCAATTTCTTTTCATTTTAGTTGCAAAGAAAATGTTAATGTCTGTTTATATGTAATCATTTATGCCATCAGATTCACCACTCCGTAAATTATGTGCGTTGAATGCGTTTTTTAACCGGATCATGTGCAAAAAACATTTAAAATTGTGACTTTCAATTTAGAAAAGTTTGCGAACAGTGTAACTGTCTGAAATTTGACCAACATATATGTAGTACTTTTGAATACACAAATGATTGAAAATCAAGAAAACACAAACTTGAAAGATGAATCGATATTTTGTTTCACTTTATTTTCATTCAGCAGTTGTGTTGCTAATTTTTTTAGAGACTAAAAAAAGACAAACACCAAATTTAATGCACATTGGACAGTCTACCGACTGTATGTAGCACATATCTATCATACTTTACAAAAGTGGATTCACGGGGTAATCAATGATAATCGGGGGAATAAATTTGTCCAGCAATAATTTTCTATTACAATAGGCCACCAATCCCACTCAATCATACAAAATTGATATGAAAACCAGCGTTATTTAATAACAACAATTAATCGCTACACATTTACTAAAATGTGATCAATAGGTACCAGATATGCTCATGATCACAACAGTCAAGAGAGGTTGAACTTCAAACAAACTACATTGGTTTTCCTGTACTCTTTCCTTTGATTGTTTTATCGCTGTATGCAGTTGATCATTCAACTGAATTTGCCCTGAACAACACAACGGTTGTCATTGGAAAAGCAAGAACAGTTTTTACTGCTTACTATTCTAGTAAACATGAGATTATCCTAGGTTTTTGTTCACTTCGTGTTACTTTTATCTTAGTTTTCTAACAAGGTTACCTTAGTCGTGATTTGTAAAAAAATTTGTGTTTATTTTTTTAGTTCATATTGTACTTATTAATCTTTTTTATACGCACGTATACGGGACGTATTATGGTATACAGTTGTTCGTCCGTCTGTCCGTTCGTCGTCGACATATCGGACAATAACTCAAAAACGCTTCAACCAATTTTCCTGAAACTTGGATGAATTGATTATATTTATTGACTTAGGCTCCCTTTCGTTTTTTTTATAAATTTTAGATTTTACGTTTCCGAGTTGAGGGATTTTATTCATAAAAAGGGGGGATTTTCCAGTTTTCGGACAATTACTCAAACATGCTTTGAGCAGTTTTCATGAGACTTTGGTGACTGGTTTAAATCTATTAGAATAAGCTCCCTGCAGGTTTTTTTTTTTATAAATTTCTGATATGACATTGAATTATGGACCTTTATTCGTTGAAAAAGCGACGGGCGTATCATGTGCTCATGGTGCAGCTCTTTATTGTTCGTATGGAAAAGGTGTAAATTTACCTTGTCATACTTACCTTTTATATACGAGACTAATTAATTAAGTCAATTAATTTCTTTAGATAACTTCATCATTAAGTTTTACTAATTCCGTATGTGTTAATTAATTACGTTATTCGGCGGTAGTGGTGGTGGAGGAGGAGAAGGAGATGGTGGCGACGAGGAGGAGGAGGTGGTGGCGGCGAGGAGGAAGAGGTGGCGGTGGCAGCGGAGGTGGCGGCGGTGGTGGTGGTGGATACGGATACTGATTCTGTGTCTATTCTTGTAATGTCTTAACATAGCATTCTTTCTCGAAAATTCCACATCACACTTTGAAAAAGTTAACAATGTTTATTCAATAAAGAAATCTGCATGTCTACCATTACACTGATCCGTTAACACGACCACAAGTTATAAAATATATGTATATATCAACTAACTTGAAGTATCCCTTATGATGACAAAATTTACTTACTAGATGATGGGATACGAAGTTTGGCCTATGGACATTGTAGAACGTAGAAAGGATGTCAATATCTTAATCTCTCTTCGTCAATCATTTGAAAGAAGAGGATGTATTTTAAGATCTCTTCAAGATATATAATACTTGTCCAAAGATTGATGTGGAATTTTCGAGAAAGGATGCTATGTTGAAACATTACAAGAATAGACACAAAATCAGTCAACCATATCCACCGAGCAGTCATCCGTATCCCCCACCACCACCGCCGCCGCTGCCGCCGCCACCTCCTCCCCCGACATCACCACCGAATATCGTAATTAATTAACACATACGTAATTAGTAACAGTTAATGATGAAGTTATCTAAAGAAATTCATTGACTTAATTAATTAGTCTCATATATAATAGGTAAGTATGACTTCAGAGGGTATCCTCAATGGGTATCTTAATGGGTATCCTCTCCCATAGGTTAAACATTAACAAAAAGTCGCCATAACCGGTAGTTCCCCTACTATTTAAATTCATCCAGTCTAAGGCTTCATCGTAAACTAAAACCAATGACTTTAACATGTTTTCATAATAATGATTTTAGGACAAACAGGTTTGTAAATGTCAGAAACAACTATTTAGATCTACTTTCAAAGGCGACATTACCTGCAACAGTAATAAATTTTAGTATTACTTCCAAAGGAACCATCGGGAAGAGTTCCACCATGTCCATTTCCATTATGACTGTCTTCGTCATCCCAGTATAACCATCCGTCGTTGAAACCTAAACAAACACAATTTCAAGTAAGACCAACATTCAAGAAATACAGGCTTAACATACTAAGGTAGACTGATTAATCATTCAAGAGTATGAATATTCTTACAATTAGAATAATTTCACGAGATATTTACAAACAGATTCAACTTCAACAAAATTCTGGACCCACAAAATAAGGTTCCATATATTTTTTTGATGGCTTGAGTTTTGGAGGCGAATGTAGACATTTTACTTTTCTTAATGTGTTGCCTTTTCAATTCCAAAGTGAATTTTTAAAAGTTGTTTTCCATTCGTTTGATGTGTGTTAGCTTTTAATTTTGCAATTTGAATTACCCTTGGAGTTCGGTATTTTGTTATTTTACTTTTTAGAAGTTTGAAACCCGAAGCAAAAAAACCGAAATTGCTAAACCGGAATGCATTTATATAAAGATTTGCGAAAATTGAGAATTGTTCCGAGATGGTACTTTAAGGATGTTCGCTACTCTGTTTCAAAATAACAAGCTTTTTAAAAGACTGTAATATTTTGATAGTATATAAATGAAGGAACTAAAAAAATGAAGGGTTCGTGTGCCTGTTTTCGAGATATAAGCCATTGAAAATTTGGCGGGAAATTATTCTCTCTAGATTTTACATACATTTAACATTGGCACCGTTTTTCTTTCAAAAACTATGAAAATATACCAAGGATTTTATAAGATTTTCTAAAATGGCTTTTTTAAACTATATGTATTAAAATTATGAAAAGAAAAGTAGGGGTGAGCGGGCAAAATTTGTAATGGCACTACATGGATAAAATCAGAGGATTCCGAATATCTGGCAAAAATTAAAACCAAGAGGAGCGAACATCCTTAACTTACTTACAGATAAACTGAAAACGCTGTGACCTTCTTGTTGAATATGATTTGGACAAATCAAGACGAAAATGACGGGTAGAGGTTTTAAGTAGACCATTGTCTACTAAAGTACGCAAGTGTCTATACCACAAGTCGGATGTAGAACATACTCACCCCTTCTCGTCTAATGAAACATTTAGTATTTTCCTTCTATTTTTCATAGTACATGTCTTTCCATGCACTATACAATGCTTAACATGAATAACTTTTCATTGTGATTTAATTATGAGGGTGAACTTTTGAACACTAACGAAGTGTACAATCCCCTAAGGCAATTTTCGTCGGGAAAGAACAAGAGAAAAGAAAAGTAGATAAATCAGAAAGCGGGTCAAAATTGGAGTATTTGTATAAATTTGATTTTATGAACGTGAAAGATCAGGTATCACTTTTTTGAGATCGTGAATAGTATCGTGAACGATTTGGTGCCGCTTACAGTATTTGTCATTGCACAAACTATTAAAGTGTTCAATTAATCTTTTAGTTATTTGAAAATTTATTATTTAATTGGTACACCAAAAATTTGGACTTCATGACTTTTCCGGTTCACTTTTTGTTGCCATCTGTTCAGTGCTATTTGATCTGTGTTTTTATAAGACCATGTTGACTAGTCCGTCGTGCCCTTAACCATTTAATGTATGTCTGTCCGTCCGTTAGCAGTTTTCTGTCGTTATTTTAAGTTAAGAATGCATCATCTGATATCACTAATGTTTAAAAACAGTATTTATATCTATAACAGAAATATCCTAGTCGATTTTTTATTAAAAGATTCACAAATTTTGAGAAATATCTTTTAAGCTAGAATATCAATGGAAAATGATAATTGATTCCGGAGATTTCACATTTGCGGCATGTGAAAATTGGAGGACAGGTGGTAAAAACTAAGTTTATCTTTAAAATTAACAAATCATGATTTTTATCTTTATGTGTTAGGATTTCAACAACAATTTATATTTAGGTATATTCTCATAGTCAAGTTTTCAAATAAGAATAGCTTTGAATCACAAATTTGAAGATACTCTGGACTTGATTGAAATTGAATTAAGTGTTTTATGCTATTCTAACATGTCTAAATTGATTATTTATTGTGAATTTCAGTTGGGAACGCGACAGGCTAAGGCACGGACGTCGAACTTATATGTATACGGAAACCAGTAGTGAACAAAACATTTATACTGGTCTTTGCCATGTATTTACATGTATGAGTTATACTGTGTTTATCATTAATTGTGGTTGCTTTAGAAATTGAATTACGATAACAAATTGATGTTTTACTTACTTATACTGTGAGCTACTCCCCAGAACATTTGTTACAGCGGTGGCATTTTGCAAGGCTAAATTTGATTTTCCAATGGCAGTACAAACCCCCCTTATTTATCCCGATCAACCCTTATCATAAATATTGTATTGAAATATTTGCCATTGGACTCTAAGAAAACAACAATCAATCAAGCATAATGTACGTGCATCAGTGTTAATTCATTAGTAATTTCTGTCCAAAAAAAATATGGTTTGCTTATAGTTGAAAGTTGTACTGTAAATCTTTTTGAAAAAAGCTATCAAATGGACAGTCGCACGCGTCTATCCCTACGCCTGGCCAGTGATATCTGTACTTTGTCGAGCGATTGTATTTTCCAACCAATTTACACTGTCATATAGATTCTGAAATTTCTCACATGTACAAAAGAACTCAAATACCTCCAAGTGTATTTTTAACTATGCAACGGAGATTATAAGTTGGCTTATGGTGGTAATATTTTTATCATGTATACTGTAATCCACATATGAAAACATGTTTTAATACAAAATACAAATACAATATTTTCGCAACGAATCGTACTGTATAGAAAAGCATATAAATAACGAAGCGTACACAAATTGAAAATAAAGACATGTAAAAAAAAATGCATGTTTTTGCTTCTAGATAGCACATTAACATATACAGCCTTTACAAGTTTGTTAGATTTGAACGATGATAATTTTTCAAATTTGTATGTTTTAAAAAGTTTGAGGCACGGGAAACTTAAAATCTATAATTATTAAAAAATAGTAAGCATATTTTTATCAGCGGCAAGATCATGCGTATTTTGTTATTTGCCTATAAGAATATCACATATTTAAAAAAAAACTTGCAGTAAGACATTGAGTTACACAATATTGACACAACATATCCAAAAAATACATATTGAACTTTCCTTAAAATTGTAAATTCTCCTCTGTTTAAACTCTGCGGTACACGGTGTTTTCAATTCGAACGCGTCAATGTTCGGTTTCATTTGTATCGGGGTTATACAGGATGATTACTAGTATACGGACTTGACAGGGTGGGCTCAACATATGTAGGTAATGTCTCAATTCACAAGCGACAATGTTTTTCGCAGTCTAAGATCTTTAGATCACATAATAGTCGTCTGATCTGTATATTTCCAATTATCTCTTATTGTATAACTGGATCTACATGGTAAGTGATGCATCCATAGCAGGAGAGGCTTACCCCGACGAATCAATTGGTCTCGTTTCATTTGGCGTTCATGCGATTTCATCGAGTGTTTTGGTATCTTGATTTGTAAATTCTTGGTAAAGCATCGGTAATAACTGTTTCTTCATGTACATGTATTCTGAGCAATATGATTGAGTTAATGGTACATGTTTAAAAAAAATCTATAACATGGAATTAAGACGGATCTTTACTAAGTTTTCCATAATAAACCGTATTTATAAAAATACGGGAAGAAGTAAATTTTTTCAGAGTATAATTTGTATATACTTACGGACTATATTTATCAAATACTCTTAAGTTACTGATGGCGTAGAAGTTTTGCATAGTTTACAACAAATCTTTGGAATCTAATGTTGTTGTTTTTATTATTAGGTTTTTTTTTTTCATATAGAACTGAAAGAAAAGTAGATAATTGAATACTTGGTTTGTCAAAAAGTACCAACAAAAATCCCTTATCTATGCAACATCTATTGACTTTTACCTGTTGGACAAGTTCCTTTCTTCAGTATACAGTAGTTCCCTTTGGGCCATTTGCGGTAATAACCAGTATTTTTGTCTTCATGATTTTTTATGCAAAACCAAAATACTGGCTTATTATGCTGAGGCGTTGCTGCAACGAAATAAAAATATTGAAAAAAAACGTTATAAATTTCATGCTTTCCTGAATTAACCTTCATCAGGAACGCCAAGCATGTATAAGAACCGAAACATTTGAAGAGCTATATGATAAAAAAAAAGACATATAGTCAAATCCATTTAAGGTCAACTTTGCCTGAGGGAGTTGAAACCTTAGTTTCATCGTAAATAAAAATGTTATAAACGGACAATTTTAGTATTGTGTGTAATATATCATTTCAGTTCCGAAGTACTGACTACTGAGCTGATGATACCCTCGGGGACTGATTGTCCACCAGCAGAGGTATCGACCCAGTGCTGTAAAAAATGAAAAAAACACGGTATAAATTTCATGCGTTCGAAGCGCTTTTCTGGATTTTCCTTCATCAGGAACGCTCAAAGCCGAATATTTGAAAGCCATGGATGTATAAGAACCGAAACAGTTGAAGATATTTACGATAAAAAAGGGCCTTAAACAAATAGCCAAATCCATCTAAGATCAACTCTGCCTGAGGGAGTTGAAACCTTCATAATTTCAAAATTTATAAACGGACAATTTTAGAAAGTTTTGTTATAAATCGTGTCAGTACCGATGTACTGACTACTGAGCTGATGATACCATCGGGGACTGATAGTCAACCAGCAGAAGTATCGACCTAGGGCTGTAAAAAATGAAACAACACATTATAAATTTCATGCATCCGAGGCAAAGGTGATTTGTTCATTTTTTTTTTTTTTTGTCTTTCACATTATAATTTCATTCAACTTGAAGGTGGGGTTTAATCTTGGAAGATATATTCAGTTTCAATACTTCTGTGAGAGTGTCCACATTCTTATATTCAACAGACTATAATAATTGCTGAGCTGAGTTTTTTCTAATGATGAATCCTTTTCATTTCCTAGGTTACCATCCATTTGAGGTTTTCTTTTATTGATATGAAATAATAGTATAAAATAATTTCATTAAGAATCGAACAATATTAATCTACATGTACACAGGTCTTGTCAAAATTACATGGTGAAAAATATGTCGTTGACCATTTAGACAACGGCAATGTAAGTAAAATCTGTATAAAGATGGAAAAGTAAAGGTCAAATCAGAACTTAAAAATACGTAATTACCAATTTAGATAATTTGCATCTGTATAAGTATGTATCAAAGTATGTAACTGACTTACAATTATAAAGTAAATCTTTAAGATCCCGCGAAGATATTTATACATTAGGGTAAATTGTTCGTGAAAGGTGTAGCAAGCAGGTAATTGTAACAGCTTTAGACTAATGAATTAATTTTTAGTGTAAACAATTTTTATTATGAGCAAACAAACGTTTTTAATATAGACTATTCTTAAATTTGAAAAAAAGAGTTAAACTTACCTCCTAAATGTATGTTTGATGTCCAGGAATTGCTATTGTGGTGGTCCTCAGCGTCCTGTCGACTCCATCCCTCTAACCAATTAAAAGGGGATCTTGGACATCCGGTATTAGGCTTGTACAATCCATAACTTCCTTTTGGCCACATGAGGGCAAGTTTTAATACTGTTCCTAAAAAATACAACATTATCACCACATTTTTTTCATAAATACGAAACACGGAAACAAAAAAAAATAAACAGTTAAGTCTACTTCAAATTATTACTCACATATACAATTCTATTTAACGTCATTTAACTTCGGAAATTAAATGAGATAGTGTTTGCGCATGCATGACTTATGGATATTGTGTAGTTCGACGAGGGCAGACGTGGTTAGTCCTGTTTAATAAAATATTTGTTTTAGTCAAAATTATTTTTTATCAACGAATCAGTAAGTTACTTCAAAATCATATAACAACGTTGTTGATATTATGTTTTTATATATTTTACGGCAACTGCTAGAAGTGGGCTTGTTTAGTTCATGAATTGATGACTTGATTTACGACAGCCCGAGAAAAATGGCAGAATGAATTGTGAAGAGAAACTTGAAAGAGGACGATGTTCTATGAAAGAAAAGTAATCGCGAGGATGATGTCCTTATATTTTAAAAGATGTAGAGTTAGACATTTCTTGTGGTAAGAAAAAGGATTAAAGGAATTCTTCAACTGTAAAGCCTACTCCAAGTACAAGTAAAACGTTCGATGCCACAAGTGGTAGTTCGGGTCCCAAATCTGAAGAAAAAAATCCTGGTGTAGAAAGTGATATTAATATCTCGAAATCCATACAAAATAACAAGAAAAAGCAAGACTATTAATAGATGCTTTAAATGAATTTGATGAGAATGAATATGATGACTTTGACGAGGAAAGTGATGATTAAGACTTAGAACTTTCGGCTATAAAAGGCTAGGTCAGACGACAATAATAATGATGTGGAAGGCACAACAAAACAGAAAGTTGAAACAACTATGAGCAAAAACTGAAAACAACAATAATGAAAGCGGGAAAACATTCATTTTGATGAAACTTTGACAGGAAACTACAAAAGCCTATTAGGGTCACAAAAAAAAAATATTTATCTCGTAATTACGAGATACATATCTCGTAAATACGAGAAAACTATCGCGTAATTACGAGAGAATCATTTTTTAACTCGTAATTACGAGATAATTATCGCGTAATTACGAGATAATTATCGCGTAATTACGAGAAAACTATCTCGTAATTACGAGATAATCATCGCGTAATTACGAGATAAGAAGTTTTTTATCTCGTAATTACGAGATAATCATGGCGTAATTACGAGAAAACTATCGCGTAATTACGAGGTAAGAAGTTTTTTATCTCGTAATTACGAGATAATTATCGCGTAATTACGAGAAAACTATCGCGTAATTACGAGATAAAATAAACTGCTTCGCCGAGCGCAGCTGGATACGCCCGCAGAGGTCCAACCCTGAACAGTTGGGGCAAAAATGGACAAAATATTCAAGCTTGATAAGGTCTGAATTTGGATTGTAATTAAATATTTGACATATTATAGGTTTCTGAATAAATGTAGTCAAAGAACTTGAAATTGGTTATATGAATTGAATTTATATTCAATTAAAAATTTCTTGCTGTTATGCAATACACTGTGCTGTTGCGCAATACTTAGTAAATCTGTTAAGACTATAAACAAATAAAGTTCAATTAATTCTCTATGTCATATTAGAAATTTATGAAAATTTAAAGGGAGCTTACATCAATAGATATAAACTATTCACCAAAGTTTCATGAGAATTGCTGACAGCATTTTTGAGTTATTGTCCGAAAAATGGAAAATCACCACTTTTTTAATGAATAAAACCCAATAACTCAGAAATGATAAATGAAAAAATTATAAAATTCTAAACAGAGCTTACATCAATAGATATAAACAATTCACCAAAGTTTTATAAGAACTGCTGAAAGCATTTTTTATTTTTTGTCCGAAAACTGGAAAATCCCCCTTTTTTTATGAATAAAACCCCATAACTCGGAAACGTAAAATCTAAAATTTATAAAAAACGAAAGGGAGCTCACGTCAATAGACATAAACAATTCACCAAAGTTTTATGCAAATTAGTAAAAGCGTTTTTGAGTTAATGTCCGACATGTTGACGACGGACGGACAGACGGACAGACGGACAACGGTATACAATAATACATCCCGTAAACGGGCGTATAAAAATGATTGTCTCGTAATTACGAGATAAAAAAATGATTATCTCGTAATTACGCGATTGTTTTCTCGTAAATACGCGATGATTATCTCGTAATTACGAGATAAAAAAATGATTATCTCGTAATTACGCGATAGTTTTCTCGTAATTACGCGATAATTATCTCGTAATTACGAGATAAAAAACTTCTTATCTCGTAATTACGCGATAGTTTTCTCGTAATTACGCGATAATTATCTCGTAATTACGAGATAAAAAAATGATTATCTCGTAATTACGAGATAAAAAAGGTTTATCTCGTAATTAAGCGATAGTTTTCTCGTAATTACGAGATATTTATCTCGTAATTACGCGATAAATATTTTTTTTTTGTGACCCTAATAGGCTTTCGTAGGAAACATTACTGACTTGTTTAAAAAAGGCTTGAACGAAAGCCGATATAATGATATGAGTTGAACCCTAGACCAGGTAATTGTGGTGTGTTGGTGATAAGGACAAATCAGCTTGTATGGGATTTGATCTCTTCTTTTGCTCAGACATTGGATAAGAAAATGCAAAGCATAGAACGATTACTAGTGAAAGCTGTAGTCTTGCACAGTAAGACAGTGAATAAAATTTCTCAAACTGATAACAAAACAAATGAGTTTAGTGAGGTAATTGATAAATGCAATGATGTGTTTGGCATTACTAGGTCATACTAATAAACAAATCAACCTAGCAAGAAGAGATTTCGTCAAATATGAGTGGAATAATGAATACACTCATCTGTGTGCACAGTCACAACCTTATATCACCTTTCTCTTTGGAGATGTTTATAAAGTAGCCAACGATATAGAAGACTGGCCTAAAATAGCAAATCGTATTCACGTTCAAGGTCTAGAGGGCGATTTCGTAGAGGTGGTAGAGACAGATATGGTCGTGGAAGAGGTAGAGAACGTGGTATTGGTAGAGGTTCTTATGAAGCCAATCACGTCAAGATCTAGCCAGTACTGGTAATGACACTTTCTCATGAGAGGGGGCTCAAGAGGGTTCCGGAGGTTGTACTTAACTAAGATAAAGATGAGGATAGTACATTAAATGAGTTTGAAGCAGGTAGATTGAAATATTATATTTATGGGTAGAAAAAGTAAATGTCTGATGAAATATTTTTAAGATATTGTAGAAAATTGACGTGTAGAACTGGTAAAACGACGAGTATTTGTTTAAAAATTCAAGTAAGCATCAGTGCATTATTAATGCAAAAGAAACTTTAATTATACGGAAAGAAATACAAAAAAACTATTGGACATTTAAGTACTTGAATAGGTTCCTCATCAAGAGGAAAAGTTTCTGTCACCTATATTTATAAGACCCAAACCAAAGGGTAATATAGAATGATACTTAATTTGAAAAAAAATGTAATGAATTTGTTCCATACCATCCTTTTAAAGTAAACACTTTTGAAATTGCACTCAAACTAATGAATACAAACACTTGCGTGGCTATTGCTAATACTTAAGATTTTCATGGGACGACAAAATATTTCAATTTACTTGCTTACCTGATGGGCTATTTTTAGAAACAAGATATTTTACACAAATTATGAAACCAGTTTATTGCAGGTTGAGCAATTTAGGTTATTCTAATGCTGGCTTCTTGATGACAGCATGTTATGTACTGATACACAAGAAAATGTAAGGATAATGTTCAAGAAACAATTTCCTTAATGGAAAACTTAATAAAATGAAAACGCCATGTTAAAAAAGAAAAAAACCAAAAGACAAACAGCAGTATACAAAACACAACATAGAAAGGACAGAGCAACACGAACCCCACCTTAAAACAGGGGTTGATCTCATGTGCTCCGGAAGGGTAAGCAGATCATGCTCCACATGTGGCGTCCGTCGTGTTGCTCAAACCCGGAGTTTAGTCTAATTCGGTAGGGCACATTCGGGGAAAAGAGGACTGGATTGTAGTTAGGAAAATTGGAACATATCCATCGTCATCTGTGAAACAGATATTCCATAACAGTCAACCAACTCGTGATGGCGTCCGTAACATTTACGAAGGGATGATTTCATCTTCGCCACTTAGAACTCTTGGTTTAATAGCTTTCTTGTGAGCAGCAATCATCTCTTTTGTCGTAATGTTTTGTTTCCAACCGACCCTCACTGTCAAAATTCTGAATGTAAGTCAAGATAACTACCTGTTGTATCCTTTATTTCAAGTACGATGGGATAGATCCATTCAACATAATCACCAAACTTTTAATTATTTAGTGATCCTTCAAAAAAAATTTGAGGAAATATTATACATTCTGAAGAAATGATTGCTACTATGCCGCTTGATTAAAAAGAACGCATTGCAGAAGAGTGCAAAAAAATCCATGTTAAAAATATAGATAAACTTAGAAATGTGGATAAAGTAATTGTGTTGTAGTTTCAAGTTTTTCTACAGTAGATATTGGTAAATTATATTACAGGAATTTAGAAAGAGAAAAACTAACGCTCTTAAAAAAGTAAATGGAAAATTCTTATTATATGAGTCAAATTGGTAGTTTACAAATATATTTACACAAAACAGGAATTTTTTTTCGAGAAATCCTGGTTTCATAATTGAGACTGATGCCTCTTGGTTAGGATTGGGCGCTGTATTAGAACAAGAAAAGATAGGTGGACAATGGACAGAAAAAGAAAGAGAAAAACCCATAAATAATTAAGAAATTTTAGCTATTAAATTGGCTTTACAGTCATTCAGGGAAAACATAAAACATAACTATATTAACATTTTAACAGACAACACCTCGGCTGTTGCATAGATTAATAATATGGGAGGTTCAAAATCATTAGACGTCTATGATTAGGGTGTACTGAAAATGGATTCTGGTTGTCATGTACTCATATTGCAGGCTGTATCAAGTCAAGTATTTTTAATGATCAAACGGAATA